AACTCCTTCATGTTTTTCTACTTTATATTTGAAAAAAAAAAAATTTTGTCTTTAATAAAACTTAGTCACCTTGACCTCGTAAAAGTATTGGGTTCCCCCGGGGATTATTAGCAATACGTAGAAGTAAATTGTAAACCATTCAATTTCTATTTAAACAATTGAAATTCTTGTAGAATTTTAAAAGTCCTCAACACAGTCAACTATGGAGCTGTGCTGGATACTAGGGTATCTGCTTTTGTTGGCAAAAACTACACTCCAGGTAATTAAATATTCCTTAATCCTACAAATGTTATTAAAAAAAAATTAATATTTTTGGTCCAGTATAGTTGGAAAAAAAAAAAAAAACCTACTAATGCCGACATCAATCACAATAAAAAAATGTATTTCACGCTAACTTTAAGCTCGAGTCATCAAGTTACACCGGTGCAGTGGTTGAGTACTATCCGGTAACCCACAGCATAAACAACGAAAAACCCTCCCACATCAATGCCGACAACTACGTGAAAATAATAAAAAAAGCATCGGATTACGTGAGTGCACGAACCATTGACAAAAGATAACAATTAACGAGAGATTACCCATAATTGTGTCATTCCCAGTCAGCTGACATTCTGGTGTTCCCCGAATCCAGCTTGTCGACGCCAACCTCGATGGACCCCAAGATCTCTCGCAGTGAAGCTGCTTCGTATGTCCCGGACCCTCGGGACAACCTCGTCCCCTGCGACGACAAGACCTACGCATACGTAAGCGCAAAGATGTCATCAAACATGTAAAATACACACATTTTTTCCCCAGATATAAGTGATAATCAAATCCATATTTTTAGTCATTGAGGACGATATCGTGTGCTGCTCGGGACCATCGAATGTACGTGGTGGTGAACCATCGCGAAAAGGTCGATTGCCTCGGCAACACCACGGGATGTCCCAGCGACAACCTTTTGATCTACAACACAAACGTAGCCTTCGACCGTCAGGGAAGGGTCATCGCCAGGTACCGAAAGTTCAACCTTTTCGGCGAGCGTGGAACCAACGTCACCGAAGATCCTGTCACGTCGACCTTCCGGACGGACTTTGGGGTGACCTTTGGCCAGTTCATCTGTTTCGATGTACTGTTTTCTCGTCCAGCACTGAATTTAACCACCCAAATGGGGATTAGGGACATTATTTTCTCCAGCCATTGGTTTTCCGAGCTACCTTTCCTCGTCAGTGTTCAAGCGCAAGCCGGATGGGCCCACGCCAACGACGTCAATCTTTTGTCTTCCGGTTACAATATGCCACTGACTGTCAGTGGAGGTGAGTGGAAATTAATTTTATTTATCCGTCCTACTAATTTGGGGTCGTAGCTCTGATGGTTGGCGGAGAAGGTTCAAATCTTAGTGGAGGAAATTTTACTTGTCCTTACATCCTGTTAGTTTGACTTGGAATAAATTTGTTTTTCTGGTGGAGATTTTATTATTTTAGAAAACCCCATATAACCTATATCCTGATGCATTACTCTGGATGGTAATGGGATCATGAAAGGGTTCAAATTCTGGTGAATGTGGGAAAGTTTTCGTTTCGAATCTCAAAAAATAAGTTCTTACTTTTGAGCTTCCAAACACATCCGAAAGGAAAAACAAACTTTTTTCCTCACAGGCAGTGGAATTTTCATTGGCCGCGAAGGGTACAGTCAGGTCCTCCTCAGAACCAAACCGGCGAACGTTCTCATGGTATCGGAAATACCTATGGTAATCGACGGTAAGCGACTGGTAAACATCAATACTGAAAAATCTTTCACCTACGAGTTCGACGAATCGGAGATCAACACGACCACGTCAGCATTTTCCAAGTCATTCGTGCCTCTAATTGAAGATTTGAGTATTTACACGACGAAGAAAATCGATCTGAAGTCTAGCGTGAGTGACGAGATCTTGTGTGATCGAGAACTCTGCTGCGACTTTAAGTTCAACGTGAGCTTTCACAAGAATATGGCCAACGATGATGCTCGTTACTATAGGTACATTAAAAACTATTTTCGCAAAAGTGGGATATTATTGGCCATTACTACCGATGTTTGTTGATTTAAGGAGGTTCCAGCGAGTTGGGATACCAACCCGCATCTTGGAGCCCTAATTAGCTTAAAAACTTTGATGATTGGCACCACTGCCACAAGAAAAACATAGGCTAACTTACCGAAGTACGATAACTCGATCAATTATAAATAGAATATCTCACAATTTTTTTCGGTTATATTTTTCACGACGATATTTTCAAAATGCAGTTATAACCTACAACTCGTCTCTCTGTACTGATAATACCCGACACTTTCGATTCGAGTTGTAAATCATTAGTATTAGTATACCTGCCATAAGTGCTCTAGTTAAAAGAGCGAGCTTCAAGCACGAATTTCTTAAGATTTTGTCCGGTTATGGGTATAAAAAAGGGTACTCTTAGATTCAGGGTTATCTGAACTATTTAATGACATATATCTAAAATGGCGACGCTAGGGCGCTGGAACCTGCTTAACACGTTACAGTTGCTAAAAAATGAATTGTTACTGTTAAAATTAAGCCTCCAATTACGTTACCGTAAACAATCGTCTCGTAGCTTTTATACGTTTCTTTTCAGATACAGAATGGCCGTGTTCAATGGGACACGGACTTTCCGGGGAGTTGCTACCGGTGGGATAAAAAGTTGCGGGATAATCTCCTGCACCAATAACACTTTAAGTAGCTGTGGTAGATTAATCGATCCCAGCGTGAGAATAAGCTCACCGACAACTTTCCACTCGATAGAAATAACAATGCGAAACGTCAGCTATGAGAACCATTTCTTCATGCCGGCCGGCATATCAAGGGACTTGCTGCCTTTGAACGTGACGGATTACACTTTCGAGACGACCGATCTCTTGAATGGTACTTCGACGCGGAAGATGGTATTGACCAAGCCGAGAAACGATTTGCTGACTTTTGCCATTTTTGGTAGAAATTTTGCCGTGGATGGCTCGGATGTCACAAAAAACGCCTCTTCGAAAAACATTTTCAAAAAGACATTGTTTATCATCGCGTTGATTTTCATGAGCTGTCGTTATTTGAATCTTTGGTCATAAGTGCATCGCTCGAACTATTGTCAGATTTTTCCTTAAAACAAACTTGAAACTGTTTGTAATAAAATTGTACTTATAGAGGACATATTTTCATTCGCACTCAGTGAAAATGTTACGGTGTATAGCTTAATCCTTTCTCACGTATACAAAATTTACAATTAATTAAATGGTTAAATGGGATGGTAGATATTTTTTCTCCATGCACCAGATCGTTAAATAAACCAATTGATTTTATTTAAAAATGTTTGCAATATA